GGTGTTGGGGATGTTGGGGACGTTGGGGATATTGGGGACGTTGGGGATTTGGAGATTTGGGGATGTTGGGAATGTTGGGGGTGTTGGAGATGTTGGGGACATTGGGGGTGTTGGGGACATTGGGGATGTTGAGGGTGTTGGGGATGTTGGGAATGTTGGGGACATTGGGGGTGTTGGATATTTGGGGATTTGGGGACGTTGGGGACGTTGGGGACATTGGGGACATTGGGGGTGTTGAGAATGTTGAGGATGTTGGGGATTGGGAGGTTTGGGGATGTTGGGGGTGTTGGGGATTGGGAGATTTGGGGGACATTGGGAATGTTGGGGGTGTTGGGGTCGTTTGGGACATTGGGGATGTTGGGGACGTTGGGGATTTGGAGATTTGGGGATGTTGGGAATGTTGGTGTTGGAGATGTTGAGGACGTTGGGGATATTGGGGACATTGGGGGTGTTGGGGACTTTGGGGACACTGGGGATGTTGGGGACATTGGGGGTCTGTTACTGGTGTGTGCAGGGCACTGGGACGGGTTCCTGGGGAGGTGTCACTGGTGTGTCACTGGTGGTCACTGGTGTCCCTGGTGGTCACTGGTGTCACTGGTGTCACTGGTGTCACTGGTGGTCACTGGTGTGTCACTGGTGTCACTGATGTCCCTGGTGTGTCACTGGTGTCTCTGGTGGTCACTGGTGTCACTGGTGTCCCTGGCACAGGCCACGTCCGTCTGTCCGACATGGGTCTGGCCGTGGAGATCAAGGAGGGGCAAAACAAAACCCGCGGCTACGCCGGGACCCCCGGTAGGGACGGGGGGACATTGGGGACATTGGGGGGACATTGGGGGACATTGGAGACACTGGGGGGACATTGGGGACATTGGGGACATTGGGGGGGACATGGGTCAATCACCCCTCAGCCACCAGGGTCCCCCCCAAGCCTCTGGGTCCCCCCCATGTCACCTGGTCCCCCCTGTCACCTGTCCCCCCTCCACGTCTCCTGTCCCCCCTGTGTCACCTGGTGTCTCCCGTGTCACCTGTGTCCACCCAATCACTTGTGTCCCCTCCATGTCACCTGTCCCCCATGTCACCTGTCCCTCGTGTCCCCTGTCCCCCGTGTCACCTGTCCCCCCTCCATGTCACCTGTCCCCCCTGTGTCACCTGGTGTCCCCCGTGTCCCCTTTCCCTCATGTCCCCTGTCCCCCATGTCCCCTGTCCCTCCCTGCCCCCTGTCCCACTGTCCCCCTGTCCCCCTGTGACATGTCCCCGGTGTCCCCACAGGGTTCATGTCCCCTGTCCCTCATGTCCCCTGTCCCTTGTGTCCCCTGTCCCCCTGTGCCATGTCCCCGGTGTCCCCGCAGGGTTCATGGCCCCGGAGCTGCTGCGGGACGAGGAGTACGACTGGTCCGTCGATTACTTCACGCTGGGGGTGACGCTCTACGAGATGCTGGAGGCCAAGGGGCCCTTCCGGCGGCGGGGGGAGAAGGTGACCGGGACCCCCGGGGACCCCCAGGGACCCCCAGTAACCACAGGGACCCCCAGGGACCCCCAGTAACCACAGGGACCCCCAGGGCCTCCCAGTAACCACAGGGACCCCCAGGGACCTCCAGGGCCTCCCAGTAACCACAGGGACCCCCAGGGCCTCTCAGTAACCACAGGGACCCCTGGGGACCTCCAGGGCCTCCCAGTAACCACAGGGACCCTCAGTAACCACAGGGACCCCCAGTACTGCCCAGGGCCTCCCAGTACCTCCACAGGGGCTCCTGGGGACCCCCAGGGACCCCCAGTACAACCCAGTAACCACAGGGACCCCCAGGGACCCCCAGTACTGCCCAGTAACCACAGGGGCCCCCAGGGATGCCCAGTAACCACAGGAACCCCCAGAACCATCAGAAACCTCCAAGAAACCCCTCAGAAACCTCCCAGAATCCTCAGAAACCTGCAAGAACCTCCAAGAAACACTCCAGGACTCTCAGAAACCCCCAGGGATCCCCAAGAAACACCTCAGAACCCTCAGGAACCTTCAAGAAACACCCCAGGACCCTCAGAAACCTCCAAGAACCTCCCAACCCCCCCCGAAACCTCCCAGGACCTTCGGGAACCCCCAAGAACCCCCAAGAAACCCCTCAGAACCCTCAGGAACCTCCAAGAATCCCCTCAGAACCCTCAGGAATCCCCAAGAACCTCCAAGAACCCCCTCAGAACCCCCAGGAACTCCCAGGAACCCCCAAGAACCCCCAGAAACCCTCAGGAACCTCCAAGAACCCCCCAGAAACCTCCTGGGACCTTCAGAACCCCCCTGAGACCTTCAGAACCCCCCTGAGAACCTCCAAGAAACACCCCAGAACCCTCAGAAACCCCCAAGAACCTCCCCAAACCCCCAAGAACCTGCCAAAATCGCCAAGAAACCCCCCGGGAACCTCTCAGGACCCCCCCGGGACCCTTTTTTCCCCCTCCCCCAGGTGGAGAACAAGGAGGTGACGCGGCGCATCCTCCACGACCCCGTGAGCTACTCGGAGAAGTTCAGCGCGGCCGCGCGCGCCGCCTGCGAGGGGCTGCTGGCCAAGGACCCCCAGAGCCGCCTGGGCTTCCGCGGCAACGACTGCGCCCAGCTCAAGGCCCACCCCTTCTTCGGCACCATCAACTGGGGGCGGCTCGAGGCAGGTAACGCCCGGGGGGAAGGGGGAGGGAGAGAAATGGGGGGTCTCCAGGGGGTGCTCTTGGAGGGGGGTCTTGGTGGAGCGTTGGGTGGTCAAGGGTTGGGGTCTCCCAGTGAGTGTTGGGTTCTCCAAGGGGTTTTGGAGGTCAAGAAATGGGGTCTCCAGTGGATGCTCTTGGAGGTGGATGTTGGTGGAGCGTTGGGTGGTCAAGGGTTGGAGTCTCCAATGGGTGTTGGGGGTCAAGAAATGGGGTCTCCAGTGGGTGTTGGGTGCTCCGTAATTGGGGTCTCCCAATGAGTGTTGGGTGCCCCAAAATTGGGGTCTCTAAGGGGTGTTGGGGGTCGAGAAATGGGGTCTCCAGTGGGTGCTCTTGGAGAGGGGTCTTTGTGGAGCGTTGGGTGGTCAAGGGTTGGGGTCTCCCAGTAAGTGTTGGGGGTTCCAGGGGGTCACCTGAGACGTTGGGGGGCTACTGGGGGGCACCAGGAGTTACCTGAGACATTGGGGGGCTATGGGGGGGTCAAGGAGATACCTGAGATATTGGGGGGCTACAGGGGGGGTACCTGAGACATTGGGGGGTCTACTGGGGGATAACGGGGTGACCTCGGGGTGTCCCCCCTGTGCCCCCCAGGGCTGGTGCCCCCCCCGTTCGTGCCGGACCCCCGGCAGGTGTACGACAAGGACCTGAGGGGGGCCTGAAGGGTTGGGGGGGCTACTGGGGGGCACCAGGAGGTACCTGAGATGACGGGGGGCTACTGGGGGGGTACCTGAGATATTGGGGGTCTATTGGGGGTACCTGAGTTGATGGGGGGC